ATGAAAATCAGCACCAATCTGAGGTCCTCCACCAGAAAAGGGTGGAGCGCCCACTCCGGGTCAGGGAGGAATTCCTGCCCTGGAGTGGAGGAGTTTGAGTATCTCGGGGTCCTGTTGGCGAGTGATGGGAGTAGAGCCGCTGCTCCTCCACATCGAAAGGAGCCAGTTGAGGTGGTTCGGGCATCTGACTAGGATGCCTCCCGGGCGCCTCCTGGCTGAGGTGTTCCAGGCATGTCGGACCGGGAGGAGTCCCTGGGGCAGACCCAGGACACGCTGGAGAGATTATATCTCTTAGCTGGCCTGGGAACATTTGGTGTTCCCCTAAACAGGCTGAAGGAGGTGGCTGGGGAGAGGGAGGTCTGGTCTTCTCCAGTTAGGCTGCTGCCCCCGCAATCCAGCACCGGATAAGTGGAAGAAAATGGATGGATCATCATCCATGACCCTAAATAAACAAACAGAGCTACTTTCTTAATTTGTGTGAGCACCAGTTTAACCCCTACCTCGATCTCCCCTATGTAGGCTGTAAAATAGCAGGAGTGATCATGCAATGTCATCCTGTCCTTCGAAGCAGCCTCAAATGCCACAAGCCAGCACACATTTAATAAGATGAGGATTGTCCCAGTGAGGAAACAGCCCTTTTTCTCTGGGCTAGACTGTTGCAACTTGCAAGTCTAATTTCAACTAAAAATGCTATTTAGAGATACTGGAAATCCTATCTTTATTCTGTTTAAAACATTTAACTAGTTCTTTTTCCTTATTTATTGTGAAAATTCACTAAATGCTGAAGCATTTGGAGAATGCTTCAGCCACAGGAAGTGCATGTCTTTAGGAGGAAGCTGGAGTACTTGAGTACTCACCCAGATGTGGAGAAAATGTGCATACCTGACACAGAAAGGCGCTGGCCAGATGCTGGCTACATGCTCTGTGAGGCACAGTGCTAACCACCATGCCCGGGTTTCTGTCTCTCTGTGCTGGCCCTGTGACACTGACCTGTGTGTTCCCGTCCTCCTGCAGCAAATCAGAGTAACATAAATATATTTAAATAGGCGTCTGTCTGAACTGTGAACAAATACCGAATCAGAAAAATGGATTTGAAAAATAAAAAACAGAGACGTTGAAAAAGTTGTCAGAATTTTGTTAGTGACACCCTGGAGACTAAACATGTCAGCCTATTTTTAACAAGGATACAGTGTCGGTGCCAAAGGCTCCTCTCAGTTTCCTAAGATTTCTCTCTATTTGCTGATTATACTTTTTTACAATATTACAACATGTAATGGTCCAAATTTAAAAATGAGTTCATTTGAAAAATGCATCTGTGAGATTATCGGTGTTGATTTCCTGTAATTAGGTGACTACAGATAACTGTAATGTATATGTATTATGCAACGAGCACAAAAGCAATAAGGTGGATTTCCTTCAGAAATGGCATTAAATGGCATTAAATGGCTAAAAGCACCAGTTAGACCAGTGTGGATAACTGAACCCACTCAGCTGGTCACAGTAACGCTCTAGCTCAGCAGGCTTTACACAGGACCTGTTGACTCTTCCAGTTGGAGCTGTAAACCTGTGTTTGTCTAAGCATTTCTAACACAGATTGTCAGTATAATCTGAACAATTACCAGCTAAATGTGTTTGCCAGCTTTGGCAAAGCTCCCTCGCTCTTTTCCGCCCTTTTGCTATCAAAGATCAAAAGAAAAGAACTCCCCCTCACCCTTCAAACACCCCCACTGCAAACCCCATACATCCTTTCCACTCCACGTATCCCTCCTCCCAGCCTCTTCTCTTTTTGAGCCATGATAGTTCAGCTGGAAAGCCAGCCATAAATGATCTTTTGGCAGCTTGGTGTTTGGTTCATCCTTTAGAGTGCAAAGCTTTGATTTTTATGATGCATATTTTAATTACAAACAGTTCAGCTGATCAAAGAGCAACTTGTAAAATAATGTGAATGAGCACAAACTGATGCTACTGATGCTAAACAGCTAAAGTCAATGAACTTTTGGTAGTCATGTGACCATAACACAACCCTGACAGTTTTAGTAGCTAAACTGTCCCAGAGTCTGCAGCCAGGAGAGATCAAACCAAACCCTCTGTTGCTCTGAGGTTATGTATCATATACTTTAGAAGTGTCGGCCTCTAATTTATGGACATGAATTCACCTGCGTGAGAAACTGAACATAGCTTAGTGAAATAAAAAAGTAACTACAAAGTTTCTAAAGCTTTTAATGTAACTGCAGATAAACAGTGAAGATGACTGAAGCTCACACACGTGTCTACTGTTATGATAAAAAAAAACGAGCTCTCAAAACGCATTTACATAAGCATCGTTCACCTCATTCTTAAGGTGTTTTATTTTAAACATTAAACTTTTTACCATATAACACCTGCACAGCAGTGAACGCATCAGTGGGTGATGTGGAGTTTACTTCCTTCCCCACTGATGTGAACCGGAGGACTTGCAGACAGAATAACTGACCTTCTGATGGATGTATAGTTGTATAGTTTGACAACTGTAGCTATATGGAAATGGAAATCTTTTTTGCAAATTGTAAATTTATTGAAATTGTAAATTTGTAAATATTTGTTAGAAGATAAAGATAATTTGTTTGAAATAAATTAACTGTTGGTTTTAGTTTCAAGAAATGTTCTGGACAAAAGCTGATCCTGAAAAGGAAAAGTAACACATTTGCTTATTTTTAATTTGGGTTTTTAGCAAAAACAAGTAGGCAGTAATCAGGAAGCTGGAATGAACAATACAACAAGTCATTTATTAAAAACATCAATTAAGGCAAAATTAAACATTTTACCAACTAGAATTAGAACAATTATAAACTTGAAACTATGCAAATAAGTTGGGTTTCTATGATGAAACATTGTGTGCGTGTACATAAAACAATCCAGAACACGTAGTTAGAAGTTACAAAAACTCAAAGTAAACTTATTCAGATTGTAGTTGGATTATCAGCTCTGTATTTAGACAATGGCACAATGTGCACATTCACAGATCAAATTCATTCAGTTTAATGGGGAATAGCTGTCTGTAAATAAGCCACACACATACTTTAAGTATCTTGTTAATATTATTCATAATATCAAATATTTTTTCTTAAGCGATGTGGGATGTGATCCAACTCTGAGCACAGTTTCAGTGCTGGAGCCTGCACCACTATCCTCCAGTACACAAACTGAAATCAGCTGACTGTGGAACCAATAAGCAAACAGACTAAAAATTCCAAGAAATTGAACCACTGGGTACCAGTCCTCGATTCCCGTCCCCAGTTAGCTATTCTTAATTTGGTTATTAGTGTGTATCGTTTTCTCCTAGCTCTGTGATTGACATGTGACCAGCCCAGGGCACATCCTGTGTCCTGCTGCAGTCCCCCTTTACATTGGATAAGCAATTTACAAAGTCGATACAGTATGGACACAGCTTTTGGTATAGCATAGAAAACAATGGCGGTTAGTTTTATAGGTATTGTATTTTTCATGAATGTTTTTACAAATTGATATTAATTAATAAGTCCACCATTGTGATTTAAAAAAAATCAACCAACGGTTAAAATTGCATTATCAAACCATGTGTAATAGAAAAGAGTTTTATTTTATCTGGGACATCCATGTTGTTGCTAGGCAGAGTTACTTGTAACGCGTTACTGTAATCCGATTACTTTTTTCAAGTAAC